CCACAAATGTTGGTCAGAAGAAGAAACAGAAGAGTGATATCAAATGTTTTGGAGTCTGGGGTGGCTCCACCGGGTGGGAACAGTAGATCCCACTGAGGTTTATGTAAAACCTTTTTTCTGGAAAGATTGGTCAGAGTAACAAAGTTTGCATTAAGACCAGCAGCCAGGTTTGCAGGAGGATGATATCTATCAAAGACATCCCTTAGAACCGTTGCTCCACCATCAATAAGACGTCTGCTCAGCTTGGCTCCATTTGTCTTCTCCGCCGAGCTGGCCAGGGGTGAAGGTGCAACAGCAGCCATGTTTATCAAGATACACTGTAGTGAGGCTTACATGAAGTTCCTTGACTGTACCTGTGTGATGCACATGTAAAGAAGCACTTCATTTTCGTTTTTGTATCATTTTTTTCAACGTAAGGCTCTCATTGGTATATGAAAATCAATTAAAAGATCTTGTAAATAAAAATTTATTACATGCTTGATTTTCATGATGTCTCACACAACTAATAGAAGTCATATCTGTTCAATATACCTGTATTACCCAACGAGTTTAACATTCTTACATAATCAAATAATCAATCTCAAAATCACAGGCGTGCTTCTTACCTCTCTGAAAGCTCTCACGTCAGGTTGGGACTTAATTTTAACATAACAGGTTTAGTAGCCTGCGAACGCAGACGTATTTCCGGCTGTAACTTGTCTCCGCCGAAAATAACGTCTGCGAACCCGAGCCAGGAAACGATTTCTGTGACGTAGGAATTTTAAGCCAATCACAGTTTAGCTCAAGCAGCCCCAGAACTACTGCGCGAGGTATTTGCTGCGAGGAGCAGTCGAGTTTTATTCTATCATGGAATCTAATTGGCCAAGGAGAAACAAAAGTCTACGTCACAGAAATCGTTTCCTGGCTCGGGTTCGCAGACGTTATTTTCGGCGGAGACAATACGTCTGCGTTCGCAGGCTACAGGTTTACTGACCTGGATAAATTTAAATTTTAACTATTCATCCAAATTTAGTTAATCTTTCTGCCTCAGAATCTCTTAATTCTCGATTGTCAACTATATGACGGGCATAATACGATCTCCTTTACAGCCTGTTAGGAGGCAACACACTGCAAGGAATGAAGTCTTGACTCTATCGTTGGTTGGTTCATGCTTTTTAATTTTTGTTTAGAGATAACACAATTCCATAATTCCAGACACCTTACCATTTTCCCTCAAGAAAACCAACTAAGGATACTTTACTGTCCCTCTACGCACCTGCTGAAATCAAAGATGACATATTCATTTATACTTAGAAATTAACATGTAAAGGCAATACCAAATCAAAGGCCCCCTGAACCAGCTCATGGATGAATAGTTGACTTTTGCGTCTGTGGCAAAATGAGTCTTTGTGCATAACTATTCGAATGAAAATGCATGTCACCTGTCCGTTCATTCTCTTGAAATTCAAGTCATTTCATGTACAATGTTTTGCATGAGCATTCGCTCTAAAAAAGAGGCAAACAGCAACTTCGAAGTGAAATTAAAGTCTGCATATGAGCCAGGTGGCCCATCAGGTCAGCACTTATCCCGGTTTCTGTAGCATGAAGCAATTAGGAGTATTTCTACTACCCCCGGATGGGATGCTAGTCCACCGCAGGGTTACCCTGCAATATTAAATTTGCCAGTACTTATTTATACACCTGAGTGGAAAGAAACACTGTGA